TCTGAATACGGTCGTAAACGACTCCACAGCATACTAAAATAGCAACAATCACTTTTCCGACAACTTTTGATTCTCATCATAAGGACATGGATTGGTCATGTTCGGGCCGATCATGCGGTTCTTAGGGATACTCTATCAATTGATGGATATATGTGTTGGCCCCCTTCCGATCCTTTATCGAGAAACAGAATCCCCAGTATTTATTGGTCGATAACGTTGACAAATCAGATTTCATGAGAGCTTTTCTCCCTTATTGTAAGGACATGTACTGGTCGTGTTCGAACTGATCATAAAGGGGTCAAAAACACTGAGCTCTACATGTAAACTCCAACTTTGGAGCTCACCTACACATCCATATTTTATGCATTCATAACAGTCCGTGAAATATGGACGCTACCAAAGACTCCCCTATCATGAAGTCCAATCATAGACTATCTGCATATGTAACCGCAACTTAGTTAATAAATTAGTATGCATCTTAGTGAGTAATCATCATAATGAGTCTCCACCTTAATGAGTATTCACCTTAATCAGTATTCACCTTTATTACTACTCACATTAATTAGTGCTCATCTTAATTAATATTTATCTGATTAAGATTAACTAAAATGACTGCACTTCTAATTAATACTAGTTAAACTGAGTAATGATGCCTTCTCAACGATAAGTTAGAGGGTATTTGAATGGGTCATGGCCGCCCACTATGAAAGAATCCCCTTGGATCCTCGAGTACTACTGTTGAAGGTATTCTTGGGTGCTCAAGTTCTACTATAGGGGGATACCCTTAGGTTCTCCAGTAGTGTTAAATCTGAAAGTTGAATTCACTTATTGAAAATCTATTTGAACTATTTCTTCATTCAATCACTCCTATTTCGCGTCACTGCACCCACACCTGGTCGTGTGATGTCTATGTGTGTATAAAAATATGCAAGTCATCTCCGTCCGAACTCTTTTCTTCGCACTCACACCTGATGAAAAGTCAATAATTGAGCAATTGAATAGTTGAAGTAAATTTTCAATAATTGAATTCAATTTTCAGGCTTGACATGTACGAAAGAGAGATGAGAAATCTACTTTCTCTTTTATAATTTATTAAGTAAGATGCCTGCATATTACTCAATTTATTTCTTACAACACAGAAACAAAACATAAGACAAAAGTATACAAGACGATAGAGGTTTTGGAGCACTATCATAATCTACAACTACTTGTTTAAATATTCATCTCCATAATACTTATAATTGAACAGACAAAATAAAAAAAGATAAAACAAGAGAGAACTACATAGAAAGGTAGGAAATGTCAAGCGCTACCTGAATATATTATTACTTTATTAAAACGATATTTCGAAGTGTTATAAAAAATTAAAAATCTAATTGCGATGGTTTCTAGAAAAAACAGTCCGTGGAGATATGATTATAAAGGCAACTTCGTTGCAGTCAATATGTTTTCTGTTACATAAGTGCAAATTAAACCATAAATATAGAAGGTGATAGAAAATTCCACAGACTGTAAGAATTTAGTATATATTTATAAATGTTCTTATAGTGACACCATACTCAGAACACCGTCTAAACCTTTTCTCTACAGGCCTATAGATACTATTTGGTACCTAAAACATAAATTCTATTTATTTAAGTCTAAAATGAAACGCAAAAGTTTACTTCTTGAGCAATGCTATGGTTTTTTCCTATCAAAAATAAAAATACATCAAAAATAAGAATATGAAGTAGATAAAAGCAAAAACGAAAATGTTCTCATGTTGCAAAACTAAGAGACGAACCATTTGAAAAAGAAACAAGCGATTTGAGTGTGATTGTGAACATGAGTTAAGTCTCAAACTATATCCACACCCACCCGCGCCCGGCCATCTATCTCAAAATAGTCAATCAGAGATTATGACAAGGTTTTCTTCGGGATTAAACTATGAACATTAAAATCCATCCAGTTCCAATAATAGAAATGAAAGAATATTTGGAAACTAAAAATCGTATTTTTTGCCTAGCTACTGATAACTTCTTCATATTTAATCAAAGAAAATAGAATAAAAATATATAAACTAGATTAACATTGGAAAGATGTAAAAGAATCGTTACATTTCATATTGGGTTATTTTGTTATTATGACTGAATTTTAAAAAAAAATAGATAGAAATTTCGAATATTTTGCCATGAAAGTTACTTTTATTGTTCAATATAAGCGTCTTAAATAGCATACCGAATTGAGTCATGATTAAATCCATATGAGGAAGAATGCCATTGTATGTCTAGATTCATTCTTTTCCTTAAAGGTAACAAGGAATATGCATGCTCAATTTTGTTGCACTCCACACTTTTCAAATAGATAGCTAAATCTCAATTTTATACCCATATCATAGATTCTTACATGAAATCATAATTGATTCGCTTTGGATCGGTATTGAAATTTTTGTGAAAATTTACTGATTATTTGATTTCGTTTATGTTAGTGTGAAAAAGGACAGGGGCGCATTAGAAGCCGATTTGGCCCACACAGTATTTTCAGTCACTTTATTGTCCATCCTATGCAGAAAAATGTGGCGATTCTTTTGATAATAAATTCAAGCCAAACTGTAAGGATTATAAGCCACTTTCAGGGAGAATACCTGCAAAAATGTATTGAAGTTTCATTGGGCTCATAGTTGTCTAGTATTAGCTTCAAATATACAACTTTTAGACAATATTTCAAGCTGAATCTATATTAGTTGGAAAGAGCATTTAATTCTGCATCGCTTCATATAAGAACTATTATTCTTTCATTAAAAATTTAATCATGGAAAATACTGTCCTTTCACAGGGGGTTCATTATTGAGCAAATTTGATAAGAATATTTCAGGTTCTGATAGAAGAAAACGGGATATTTGAAATCAGCAGAAAAAACTGACTCGATCCATATAGTTTCGAAAATTTTTTTAGCACTTTTATTTTCGTCCAAAAATTCAGCTAGGTTCCCCTCAGGGTTAGGTCAAAAAATGAAATCGATTAAAACAGTGTTTCTATCTATTAGTTATTTGTGTTTGTTGATTTTCTTAACTTTTAAGAACTGCAGAAATTGTTTTTCACAGTCAGAATGGGGTTTCAATCGATTTCCTTTTTTGACCTAACCCTGATGAGGACCCCAGCTGAATTTTTAGACGAAAATAAAAGTGCTAAAAAAATTTTCGAAACTATATGGATCAACTCAGTTTTTTCTGCTGATGTCAAATATCCCGTTCTCTTCTATCAGAACCTGAATTATTCTTATCAAATTTGCTCAATAATGAGCAGAAAAGGGTACTTTTTGTGCTTCCAAACAATTCATGTACACTTTCGATATAGTGGCCCATATTGAAATCAAATAAATTATGCATCATTTTGTAGCTCTTTCTTTGCTCTATCGAATGGTATATAAAAAAGCTTGGCTCGCACACAAAAATATGTCAAACAGTTCTAATTATTGTTCGGATGTGAGGTATCGAAGCATACCCCTGTGAAAGGACAGTATTTTCCATGATTAAATTTTTAATGAAAGAATAATAGTTCTTATATGAAGCGATGCAGAATTAAATGCTCTTTCCAACTAATATAGATTCAGCTTGAAATATTGTCTAAAAGTTGTATATTTGAAGCTAATACTAGACAACTATGAGCCCAATGAAACTTCAATACTTTTTTGCAGGTATTCTCCCTGAAAGTGGCTTATAATCCTTACAGTTTGACTTGAATTTATTATCAAAAGAATCGCCACATTTTTCTGCATAGGATGGACAATACAGTGACTGAAAATACTATGTGGGCCAAATCGGCTTTAAATGCGCCCCTGTCCTTTGTAAGTGTTATGTTGAAGTTATCAAGGCAAATGTTGGAAATTTCCCAGTGAACATTCTATACACATTATTGGATTTTTCCTTTTTCTCTTTCATATACTAGTTGGGATTTACCCAACACAGTTACTATGTCTATAGTTAGATGTTATCTTTCTGTTTCATATCTAATTTCTATATTTCTTCTTCGTTGTTTTCTTTCGCGTGTCCTAGTCTTTCTTTCTGATATACTTAGTGTCAAGTGTTTCCGAAATAAATCGAGCTCACTTTACACACATAAGTAGAAACTACTAACGTACAATTTAGAACAAAACACATTAACTCAAGTTTTTTAGAATGAAATTCTGGATTTTTCCAAAATGAGACATGGTTCGATCAGCATTCTAACATTTCTGTCTTGATGACTTCTTATATAGAAAAATTCTAACTGCTTAGATGATAAAAAAAACAATTACTTATTTTTATAATGCTCGCAAAAATCGATCAAATGCTATGAGAATCCTTTCAGCAGTAGATTTACAGAGTTCACCTTAGGAGTATTCTCAAAATACGTTTTCTAAACTTTTCATCATTGTAGAAATAATTTATTTTCCAACAAGGCAATTACATATTATGATAAAGTTTGCAATTTTGTATCATTCTTCAGTTTATTTATTGCCTTACATTTACGTATTTATTGAAAACAAAATTGGTTAAATCCAAGCGAACGAATTCTCAATAGACATAGGTCACCATTGGTTATTTTTTTCCACTATCTTTCGTTCACATGTAAAATGAGAATAAAATTTTGCTAAGTGTTAGTAAATTTTAATTGAACTTGAGATATTCTATCATGCTACACATACACAATACTCTCTTATGTTGTATTTTTGTACGATAACACATAAAAGTAAGACAAGAGATATGCAACTAATTATTCAAATAAACTGCTTTATTTCAAAAGACTTGATTAATTGCCCGAAAGAATTAATGAAATATTTAAAATAGTCGAACTTGAACAAAGGAACTGTAATTGTTAAATTGTAAACATACGAATCTCCATAAGATTAATATAATCTTATTTTCTGGTTTTATCAAAGAATTCATATCATTTATTTTTAAATATGCATATGAATTCGTTTTATATGGAAGTATTCGTAGAATAAATAATATAATTCGATTGATTTTTCTATTAATAGAAATGGCAACAGGAAACAAATCCAATTTATGTTCAGTCTGCAATAAATTGGCAGCCATCCGCTTTTGTATGGGATGTAATACATACTTTTGCCCAAAGGATTTCAGAGAACATGAAAAGCAATTAGCAATTAAATTCGATGATGAAGTAGTTAGATCTCATGATTTACTTTTGGATCAAATAGAAAAGTTAGAAAAATCAAATTATTTATCCTCGGATCTTTTTGCTCAAATCGAACAATGGAAAGAAACAACAATTAACAAAGTTGAAAAAGCAGCAGAAAAGGCACATCATGAACTTTCCGAGTTAATCGATCAACAACGAATAGAAATAACAAAACAACTTGAATCAATCGCAAAGGAAATTTGTTCACGTCGGGAAGAAGAAATTTTTATTGAAAATGATATAGATCAACTTAAACAAGAAATTGATAAAATTAAACAAGAAGTTGAAAAATTCATTCATACAGATAAAAATCAAAGCATCATTGTTGAAAATAATCGAATCGATTGGAATCGATTAATATGCATCCGGGAAATTCAAAAAGAACAAGAAACTCAAGAACAACAAAGAAACTGTGAGTATTTTCAACATTAATCCTGAAATAAATAACAAGTGAGACCATCTGTTTATGGAAACACATTATCCGATTCATTTTGGTTTCGAGAGTTCAATATTTTCCCGTCATCTATCACTCAATACAGCTCCAAACAGAAGGCCGATCTGACTCAAAATTTTCCCGCTTTATTATTTAAGTTCTCCATACCAACTGACTAATCAAATACTAGCTATCAAGACTTTTAGTGCATACTAGTCACGTAGTTACGTTGGTATGGAATCAATAATTCGAGACAAAAATAGCCGTTAGTCAATTGTCTGAAGTCCATTTAGAATCGATAGAGTCGAGGGTTTGAACACAGTAATTGTGAGTATATGTCAAGAGTCTTAACCATTCAGTCGTGCCAACAAGTTTTAGAATTATGTCCATATCAAAACATGAACGTTGGAGTATTAGATATGAAGGTTCTCAATCTTTGTTCCATTCTCTAATTATTTTAATCAACATTTGTTGAATAATAATCACTTATATAGTTCATTCTAATATTCTTCAAGTAATATTATATCTATTTGTGTGAAAAATATCCTGTTTTAGAGGCTATATGCGAATCTCGTGAAAATCATTTATGTTAATACAATAAATAAATAAAGTGGCAAAAGTATATCCGACAATTTAACTTAATTAATTCGAAGTTTTGATCTTCTATGAGATCATTTTCCAGAGTAACCATAAATTTGTATTCTATTGATTAGTACTCATAACCTAGATAATTATTGAAGCCCAGATCTACCAAAAGAAATAATTTCAAACTAAAAATATATAAAAGGTAATAATTATCTAGATTGTGAGTACTAATCAATAGAGTACAAGTTCGTGGTTACTCTGGACAATGATCTCATAGAAGATCGAAACGTCAAATTAAATAAAGTAAATCGTCGAGTATACTTTTGCTGCTTTATTTATTTATTGTGTTAATATTTTTGTCCTTCATATATTTTTAATTTCTAATCATTTATGTTGCTTTTAACAATTATAAACTCATACTTTTCTCTACGTTGTCATGTAAAATCTGTCGAATAAAAGGACACTGAGTTGTTAAAACCAATCTATTTTTACAAAAAATCTAATAGATATCCAGTTTCAAACTAAAGAATATCGAATAAAATGAACGATAATATTTTTCTTAAATAAACTGCGCTGCATTGCTCTCGCTACAAAAAGTATAGTCGAATTTCTTACAAATGAAAAGAATAAATCTCAATGATAAGTTATTTTCTTTAGTGAAATGAATCGTTCGTTTCAACTAGGGATGTATTGGGAAATTCTATAACTGATTTTCTTCCCGAAATATGATTTTCATTTTAAATCTCATCACTTATATCGATCTCTAGTAGATCTCGCATTTACTACCATCACTGTTGAATGTACATATTTGATTAATTTCTGTAACAAAAAGATCAATAGAAAGATAAAAGTTCGGCAGTAGAAGACTTTTTATTATTTTCTGAATAGCGAAAATTAAATTAGCGGTTTTCTCATATATGCAAATCGAATTCATCATAAATAAGTAATGCTGATGTAACGAATTTCAAGTTAAAATTGTAAGTGTTAAAATAATTGGAAATAGGGAACATATTTTTGTCAAATTTTATTTGAAATTCATATTCATTTGAAAAAAAAACAAATATTTATTTAAAAATTACCGAGACAGAATGAAATATGATTTAGTTGAACCTGATTGAAAAACTACATTGGATACTTATTCCTTGTACTCATTTTTTGTAATTATCTTTTAAATAAACGAGATTTTTTGAAATCTATGCCTCCCTCTGTATTGGTAGAATCTGATTCCTCTACTATACACAAATACACAAAGTTTCTACACAGATCTTCAATTGTATTCCATCTTTCTCTATAGCCCTTAATTGTGCAATCTGAAGATATCTGATATTTTCTTCCATTTTTTTTCATTTCTCATACCAGTAATTTGCGCCTAACCCGAGGAATTCCGACCATTTATAGTTTAGTAAATTGGTTATGTATTTCTTTTTGTCCTAATTTATACTATTTAATAACTTTTATTTTCTCTTCTATTTTTGTGGATTCTAATAATTAGCTTGTAGAATAACTAATTTAAAGTACTTTCTGAAAACCACCAACCTACACGAGAGAAAAAGTTTGACTTTATGAGATAAAATCAGAGAATAACTTTAAATTTAAAAATCTACCCGTTTTCCCCCTGATTTCTAAAATTTGAATTTGATAAGACTGATCATAAGAAGAAACAATTTGACAGTTTTTATAAGCTCACATTTGTGTAGATGTATTTCTTATGATCGCATCAGCTAAATTGCAAATATCTCATGAATTTCCAGCAGAAAAGGACATATTTTCATCGAAATCAATGCTTATTTCTACTTCATACTCTTGTTTCATTTCAGTATCACTACGTGCAAGTTCCACTGACATTCTTCCGAATGCCAAATGGGAACAAAATGGTATCACTGTTGCTGGAGGAAATGGAGAAGGCAGTGAAACTAACCAACTCTTTTTCCCATGGGGTTTGTACGTGAATGAGGATCAAACGGTTTATGTCGCTGATGCTAGAAATAATCGTATTGTGGAATGGAAATCTGGTGCAACGAATGGAAAAGTGGTTGCTGGTGGAAATGAATATGGAGATGGACCTCATCAATTAAAATACCCATTCGATGTGCTTATCGACAAAGAGACCGATAGTCTCATCATCTGCGATCGAGAGAATAATAGAATAGTTCGCTGGCCCTGTCAAAATGGTACTCGTGGGGAATCAATTGTTTCAAATATCTCTTGCCGCGGTTTGGCCATGGATGACAATGATTCTCTCTATGTCGTTGACCAAGAAAAACATGAAGTGAGACGATATAAAATTGATGACACTAAAGGAACAGTGGTTGCAGGTGGTAATGGACAAGGAAATTGTCTCGATCAATTCTCTACTCCACAATACATATTTGTCGATCGAGATCATTCATTGTATGTGTCTGATACTGGAAATGATCGTGTAATGAAATGGGACGAAGGCGCAAAACAAGGCATAGTCGTAGCCGGTGGCCAAGGACAAGGAAATAGTCTTACACAATTGAATAGTCCTTATGGAGTCGTTGTCGATCAGTTGAGTACTGTCTATGTGGCTGACTTTCAGAATCATCGAATCATGCGTTGGCCAAAAGGAGCCATTCAAGGAAATGTCATTGTTGGTGGAAACGGTGCAGGAGTACAGTCGAATCAACTCAATTGTCCCATTGGTTTATCATTTAGTCGATATGGCAGTCTCTTTGTTGTAGATTACCACAATCATCGAGTGCAAAAATTTAATATCGAATTAACTCAATGCGATGATTAATTTTTGTTTCGCTCTTTTTTTTTCTTTCAAATAAATCGCGATTGAACGGGAAATGAATTGAAAACGGTTCTATTCTCGTCCGCGCACGATCAGAAACCATTCTAGTGAAGCTGTGACAGGCGTAATGCTCATGCACGCTCGGAATGACTTACCTCATACGCGTGTACACATCCCATGACATGCGTCAATGAGTCTGAAGGCTTGCTCGTGTGCCACAGACACCAAGGCAGTTCCTGACCGAGCTTTTAGAGACTACTCGGAAGTCCTTCGTATAAGAAAAACTTAATCTCAATGGACAGAACTCATTCCTCTAACACTCAATGTTCTGAACCACATTCTATTCTGATCGCAAATAAAAAAAAGTAATTACTCACCCATTTTATGTTGGATCCTGACGTCTCTAAAAGGAAAAGAAAAATATTTAATTGATGACATATGAATAGGAAAAAAAAAGAATAACTTAACTCGTGTTATCTTTTTCTTCGCCGTTCAATTCTAAAATAAAAACTGTAGAATAGATCAAAGGAGGACTTACTAACCTCCATATAATCCAAAATAGGAAAAAAAATAAAAAGTGAAAATATTAAAACTGATCTCTACATCTTCTTTTATCAACTTATTTGATGTTGAATCGTTCCATATAGTGCCGTCGAAGCCAGTCCAAAATATAAAAAGAAAAGATTATTATTTGATTCAATAAATTGAATGATTTTACATAGGAGGGTGTGGGTGTGGGTGTGGGTTTGTGTTTAAATGGAAGACAGGATTGATAGCCATGCAGACACGCACACCCACACCCTCGAGATGCTTCTTTCTAATACAATTGTTCTAAATATTGCATTATAGTCCATAAACTATTTCTAACAACGCTTCGTTTAACTTTCATACACGAAGAAACATTAATATTTTAATAGGATTTTCCGAGAGTTAATGGTTACGTTTTGCTACAATCGATTTTTCTTGTAATCATGATTTTTGTTGTATGGAAATACAGAAAGCATCATGTCAGGCTGACAAAAACCGATAGCTAATATATTCAATAATGTTACAGTTGAATTCATTGTGTGAAGTTTTTTCCACTACTGTGATCTATTGCGACCGAGAAGAGAAAACAAAAACGCCGTACCTCAGCCGTAGTTCAGTATAATTCAGCGTACTCCAAGACTATATCAAGGCTATCGTCCAGAATTTCTTAGCTATTTCAAGTCCGCTGTGCCGATATTGAAATGACTTTGCACTGACCTACCTTTCATCTTTTTTCTGCATCGTATCTGCATTGTTCTTTTCTATGCTCAACTCTCTCTTGTATAAGTATTGTTGTATGCGAATTAGGTACATTCTAAAGATATAAAGTAACTTAATAAACAACATTATTGCGAGTAGTCATAAGCTACTCTTCTACTTTGTCGTTTCATGTCAATCGTGACTATAAAACTTGCAGCTCCGGTTTCAAGATCGATTTTAAGTTTACATATATTTATAAAAATTTAGCAATTACATTCGGTACAAGATATGAAGAATATTATTGATATTTACGAAAATCGAAGTGTTTGAAGAAAACACAAACACGAACGATAAGTAGTACTGATTGAAGTGACGAACAGAAAGACCAACGTTGAAAGAAAAGGCACTGTTGAGTGTCAACAATGCTGATTGGGCATAGTACTACACAAACGACAGTGTCACAGAACACCAATGAACGTACTACAGGACAACTCACGTTGACCAGCTGTGCAAATGGTCTATGTATTATTCTTTTTAACGTCAGTACGCTTCAGGTCACTTTCTCTCAGGTTGCTTCATTATTTTCACTTTAGGCGTAGTAATTTCCGTTTAAGAAAAAAAAAAGAAGTAAGAAACACGTTGGTGTAGATGATAACGAACAAGATTGGATGTTGACCGTAAACAATTAAAATTCATTTATCATCAATAGTACGAGTGTATCACTGACATTACAATCAGTCAAGCAATAAAGCGCTGTTTCTTATCTGTTATCATCATCTACATTTCATCCAATTCACTATTTTTTAATAAGTAACGATTCGTGATGATCAAATACTTATGCATATGCAGAATTAACGATAAAAAGTAATCGACTATATTGCAAAGGATGATAATCAATATATAAAATTCGTGTAATTCCATAAGATCTATACCACTTTTTGGAAGATGTATCAATTTATGAATCGTACACCTTTTTGTTAGAAAAAATTAATGACTATTATTAATAATATGTTGCTTAATTCGAAGACGGTGTGAAAAGTTGGTAGAATACAATAAATCGAAATTTTGAACTGTGGGTGTGGGTGTGGGTGTAGGTGGGTGTGGGTGTGGGTGTGGGTGTGGGTGTGGGTGTGGGTGTGTGGGTGTGGGTGTGGATGTGGG